ATAGATACAGCATTCGTTGTTAGATTTGTTACTTTGGTTGGAACATTCTATTTTTTAAAAAAATAATTGAATTTATCCAATATATTTCGAAATCTATAGACATAAATAAGATTAGATAAATATGTACCCCGAGTACAATTCATCTGTTGACAAAGGTTCCTAGACGTGGAAAGTCATAAGTAAAAAAAAATTAATGATTTAAAAAAGAAAGAAAATGGCGATTTTCAACCATGATACCTGCCTGCTCTTGTTGTTCGCGTTTCTCTATGGTCTCCTTGAGTAAAAGTTTGAAGGCTGCGGCAGGGTCGATACTATTCATTGTTAAAATGTTGGGAATGAATGGAATAAAGGATGTGCAAACTTCAGTCGGTTGTTTAGTACGTTCATGTGTTACGTACCTATCTAGAATCTAGAATATTCATAATTTCTATTCGCGTATTTGATTGTTTATTTAACTAATGCATAATTACAATTACATCACGGGTAAAAATATAAACTCAAAAGTCATTGCGCCTATTCATAATATCCAACTTCAAACCACGAAATAGACGCGATCCCACAAACGTTTCTCACGTGGAATTTTCCCCAAGGATTAGATTACACTTTGATTTTTTTTTTTATGATGACGTTTAAACAGGCAGTTTGAAATCTTTATCTTTTGGGCAAAATCATGATTTCATATATATTTAGAATAGAGAAATAAAACTCATAATATTCAGTAAGAAGGTTTGTTAATGATAAATATTATGGGATAAGATTGACTAATTTACAAACACTCGACTAAGCTTAACCGTTTCTCAATACAAATCTCGAATGTTCTTTCGTCGAAAATATGGAACATTAGTATGATCGACACGATCTACGAACTTACTTTTTCAACAACCTGACCATTAGAATTAATTTTATTCTCAATTTTCAACTTATTTGTAAAAGCCACGGTCTGTGGGTTCAAGAACGGTTGACCTATATTCCGATTAGTAAGTAACGATCTTTTTGAAATGATGTTCTCTCACTTAATAAATCTAATTTAATTACTCACTCAAATCATAAGTGTGATGAAACGTGTGAGATCTCAATTGGTCATGATTTGGAGCGGTTTGTTGAAAATTATTCGGGACAAGGAGGCCTGAGTCCTTCTGAGAAATGTTTTCGCGAACCCATTGAAAGTTCAATTCAACTTTCCTGCAAAGAATCATGTATTGATCATCGGAATGCTCATAGGAAACGCCAATCGAAAAAAAAAAGTTTCGATTCACAACTTACTCTATAATTTGCTCATGTGAAGGAAACGGCGTCTGTGGATATTCTAGGG